TAAGATGGCGGATGTTCGTATTATTTTGGAAGAGGCCATTACGGGTGTAACTGGTGGCACGTGGCAGAACTGCATAGGGCATGTAGTCAAAGAAGAGAAAAAGTTCGGGCATTTGGACCATTCCATAGCGCAGATAATCGAACCAGTGATAATTAACTTAAATGACGACAATGATAGTTGAATCACCGACAGTAACAGTTCCTGCTCGAATAATGGTGAGTCATAAAACCGCAGCGCAACATTTGTTCAATTGAATATTTAATTATTTATTTATTTATGTTTCCATCTATTTACGTTATACACTATTCATAGTCGTTTTATATTTGGTTATAATTTTTTAATAATCAGAATTGATCGTTTAATTTTTGTCCGTCTTTCAGTTTCAGAACTATTTATTTTTATAATTTGTATTTCCAAGTTAGAGATTAACCATACTTATTTTTCATTTTATTGAAACTGAAAGACGGATGGATGGAGGGACGAGACTCGATATGCAGCCACCTTCCCGAGACAAGTCCTGCACGGTATCATGTAAAAAACCTATAAATCGTCAAAAAAAACATATAAGATGTCAACTTACAGACTAGGTAGTTTTTAGGGCGCAAACAGTCATTCCACGTTTGCTCACTAGGATCATTGTGAACGTCCATCTATGGAGGAATCACTCAACTAAACTACGCATTATTGGTTGCTTAGTTTTGTGATCCGGGTCTGTAGTTTTTATCTCTGAGAAGAAAGTTGGTTGAATAGCAAGATCGCATCTGGATGATTATGTGTATTGGTCTGCAGGTGTATAAAATCAGATATATTTGCTGGGTGAGAAAATCATTTCTGAATATGCTGAATATGATAGGTTATTTAAATGTTGTGCTTTCTGAAAAGAGGTTATGTTCAAAGTTATAAATTACGAAAAACTGAGGAGAATTACGGGAAATCATCACCGCGCCCGCGTTGTGTGTAATTACTGTTAGCATGTATATGGCTTGTAATTCGACAGTGTACAGTGATTATAACTATTTCTTATCTCCCTCATTTTGAAATTCAGCAAATTTGTATATGTAATTTCCAGAATGAATAAGAAAAAGTGGATGCGCAACTAATTTCTAGCTTTGAATCTCAATTAAGTGTATTTGAATCAAGAACCCAATGTAATTATCATCAACACATACAACTTACAGCTTAGACCCCCCAGTAATGCCATCTCAGAAGCAGATTTTACATCACATCAGAGGCAAAGATTGATAACAAGCCTCATGACGTTTAGGCAACACGTACAACTAAGTGCTAAGTTAATATCTTGTAGAATAACTTACATATTTTCAAAAAAAAAAACAGCATAATGTCAAAAAAATTGGCATAATGTCACTTTTCAAGATTCGTGATACCCCTGCTGGGTAGCCCGAACATGGGCTAGCTGAGAGCTGCATTAACTTTCTGAGACATTAATCCATTTTAAACACAAAACGATTAGAAAAACAGGAAGACAGAGATAGATATAAGAGAATATTAAATGAAGAGCTAGAGACAGCAAATACAGAGGAATTGTACAGTGTGAATGAAAAATGGAATTTGATAAAGGAGAAAATGAAAAAATGTGTGTCAGAGTGTGAACAAAAAAGGAGTAAAAGCAAAAATAAATGGTTCTATGGGGAGTGCGAAAGGGAATTAAAAGAGAGTAGAGAGAGTAGAATAAGTTGCGTTTGTTAGCGATAAGTCAGGTGACAGAAGCAAATAAACTAAAGTATACCGAACAACGGAAAGCATGTAAGAAACTGCTTAGGGAAAAGAAGAGGAAAGATAGCGAAAGACAGCTTTGTGAAATAGAAGAACTTTATAAAAATGGGAAGATTCGAAATCTATATCAAGGTGTAAGAAGACAGAAAAACGGTTTCGAAGCAAAGCCAGTATTTATAAAGTGTAACGATGGACAATCCATTGCAGATGAAGAAGAAATGTTAGCAAGATGGAAAGACTATTTCGAGGAACTGCTGAATGAAAATTTTCGGGAAGACGACGCGCACAGAATTAACGATTTTGAGGAACAGGAAAGGGTGCTGGATGATAAACCAGACCTAGATGATATAAAAAAGATTCTAGGAGGCTTAAAATCAAATAAAAAAGCTGGTATAGATGAAGTCACAGGCTAAATGCTGAAATTCGGAGGTGCACAGTTGGATAGGGGACATTTTTGAAACAGAAAGAATGCCGCGTGAATGGAGTGAGGCGTTTATAAGCCCAATGTTTAGAAAATGGGATAAAAAATCTGTGAAAACTATAGAGGGATAGCCCTAATGAATGTTGGATATAAAGTGCTAGCGACCTGTATTAATAGTAGACTTCCATCGAAAATGTTAGGAAGAATAGGAGAATACCAATGTGGGAAGGGGAGTAGTGGACCAAATTTCTACGCTTAGAGAGATCCAGGCTGAGAGTTATCAACATCAGAAAGATACATATGTAGTGTTTATAGACTTTAAAAAAGCATAGGATACAATCCGAAGATAGGCAGTATACCAAGCACCAAGAGGACTATAGGAAATAGTGAAAATATTATAAGGCTAATAAGGCTGATACTTTAGGAAACGGAAAATAGAATAACAGTTAAAGGGAAATATTCTGAAAAGTTCAAAGTAAAAATGAGGTTGCGGCAAGGGCATCCGCTGTCAACAGTTTTATTCAACTATATATTGGAAGATATAATCAGAGCAGCAAATTTAAATAGGAATGATTTATTATTATTAAAGCACCAATGTTAAGCGTTCGCAGATGACATTGCAATTATTGCTATAAGCAAAAGAGAATTGATACAAGTACTAAAAACACTTGACGAGAAAGCAAAGGAAAAGGGTCTAATAATAAATCAGGCAAAAACTAAATATGTGAGATGATTTTATGACAGGAGAAAGCCTAAAGGTAAAAACAGGCAGTGGAAAAATATATAATTTTGAAGATGTCGATCAATTTGTCTATTTGGGATCAACATTCACAAGAAAACCGGGCACAAGGGAAGAAATCAAAGCAAGACTGGGGAAGGGAAATAGATGTTTATATAGCCTGAACCATCTCCTGAAAAGCAAGTTGATAAGTGATAAACTAAAAACTAAATTATATAAAACAGTAATAAGACCATCAGTTACGTTTGCTTGTGAAACATGGCTCTTGAGGAAGGCAGTTATAAAAACAGTAGAAGTGTGAGAAAGAAAGGTATTAAGGAAAATTTTTGGAGGGAAACAGAACAATGAGGTATGGGAAAGAAGAACAAACCAAGACCTTGCAGATATGTATAAAGAATCAAGTATCACAGGATATATAAGAGCATAAAGGTTGAAATGCTTAGGACATGTAGAAAGGATCGCAGAAAATAGGATTAAAAAATGGTTGTTAGCAGAAGCATAGGAGGCAAGAAGAGGAGAGGGAGACGGAAGGAAAGATGGAAGAGCGAAGTAGAAGCGGATCTGAGAAGCTTAGGTGTACAAAACTGGAAATTCATGTGTCAAAATAAGAAGAAATGGAAAGAAATTACAAACAAAGCATTGGGCCTTTGAGGCCTGTATCTTTGCTAGTTTTTTGTGAACCTTTTCTTTAGCGGCAAGTTTGTCGACATGTATTTGTAAATTTGATTATTGTAGTTTTGTATATATTTGAGGGCCCTCTCGATCATTTAGCTATTTAGTTACTCCCCCAGATATTAGATTTCGAGTTTGAGCGTTGGCTCTGTGATCATCTGGGTATATGAATATTTATAAGATACATTTGTGATTGATTGATTGATTGTATGTTACCATGTTTTCATAAGATTTTCATTATAATTCTCTTACAGCCTAAATTTAAGAACATTCTGATATCTTTATACACATATTTAATATGTACATTCATTTCACGCCTGATGAAGCCAACAATCAAAAACAGGTACGTATTGCTCGGGTTGTTTATCCTATTTTCTGCTCGAATCCACTTTCCTTCTTTTTGCGGATTTTGGCAATTATTTTTTATATTTGTTGGGCATGAAGTACCACGCTAAGTGGCTATAACTGGCCGCGTTGTGATTAGATGTCGCCTTGAAAACTCAAGGTCTTCTGACCTTTATACTGCAAAAGTGTAGGTTAGGTCTTGTTGATGACTTCGTGTGTCGTTTTGTTCCCTCTCCATCTTCATTTCCTCAGGTTACACCAGTATCCGGATGTATTGGCATGTGTGTCGACTTTTGTGGTTGCATTTGTGCATTCATTTCGGGCCTGATGAAGCCAACAAGGAGAAATAGGGTTTGCTCTAGTTATATATATTATTTTCTTCTCGTATCCACTTTCTTTCTTTTTGCGAATGTTACCCATTATTTTTTCTTTTATTTGTTATGTACCTTTCTCCGCATGCTCCTTTTTCTTTTCTATACATATACATACATTAAAAAAAAATTACAGAAGGAATATCACTGTTCCTTTGTTTTACTGCTGCTACTTCCTGTTCCACATACACACCCATATGTACAGTCAGTAACAGTCACTCCTATTTGAAAATATTTATGTAGTTACATTTGGACTTTGCCTTTGTTAGTGAGAGCATTTTTTGGCTGTATTACAATCAAGTTACGCCACTACATTCCTCTAACATGACTCAGAGCCGACTTGTACTAGGTTGTTGTTCAACCAATGTTTTGAACACTTAACTTTTGATCCGTTTCGTTTTCCACAAAACAAAAAGTTATGGTGTTATGTTGACTGATAGAGAAACATCCAGTTTCTTAAACTAATAATTTCAACTAAGTATCCCTTCACATAAACTGGTTAAACCATGTGTCAGAGAGAAATGAGTAAGTCCGCACTATACTATACGTGCTTTACAAGATCCTGTATATTTTCAATTTATTATTTTTTTTTGTTTAAATTCCAGTGTAAAATCATTCAATATAGCGAAACAATAAGTCTCCAGAGCCAAATGCGTATTGGACAAATGAACACGAATAATTCAAATCCGTCTTGGACAAATGAAATGAATCCAAAGGATAATACGACCACCACTACGCATACCTTATCTCCCTTGAATAGCTTCCTAAGTCCGCCACTGTGGCTAAGTGTATAATTGTATACAAAATTCTTCATAGGATTGTCCAACATGACGGTGAGTTGTCGGTTGTGTATTTTTCAAGTACGCTAACAATAATTTAACAAGCGACTATCAAACATTGTATGTTATATGAATTTTCTTGCCTTGAAGATGTGTAATAATGTATAAATTAAATATAAGTACTTACGTAAAACAAGTGTTGATGTTAATAGTGAACATCTCGGTCTGAATTGCATTATGAATCTGCAACAACAAAAAAGGTTCATTTATTGGACTTAGAGGTGATTTTATTCCTGGTAACAATCTATTGTTGACGATCAACCGCAAACTACCTGTTGCACAACAATCTATGTGTGAAATTACGAACAATGCTTGTCACTGGTTTTACAACTCTCAGCATAGTGTGTCAAACTAAATGATTCAAGAAGGTACCTTTACACCAGTTACCAGATTTACAAAATAAAACAATATGAAGCAATGCGCTTTCGACATATGTGTATACGGAAGTTAGCATTTGCAAGCGTCTTATCAAAAAAGTGTAATCTATTATTTATACGAGTACACATACCTATGTAATTTAGATATATGTAAATATGAAGCGCAAATTATATCTATCGGTTTCTGTTCCATGAGAAACGAGCATAGTGGAATAACTCTAGGAAATATGAAGATAAGAAAATTGTGAGGTAAATTTTTATGTAAGGCACCATAAATATTTTTGACCAATGCTATTGAACTGATTTTGATCAAATACATGATAGCAAATCGTTCCGAAGGTAACCGAGAAGTAGATCGGACAGCTAAAAACTATACCATGCTTAATTTATTGCTCTTCATGTACTTTGTCAAAATCAATACCAGCATATGTATTTCCAAAATTTCTCTTTACTAAACGACGTTGCAGTCCCAAAGGTGATCTGCTTCAAGTTCAATTGATACTGTTTGGCAATATATTTTATTTTTCTAAATATTTACTTTAATTGACACCTTTTGACAATATATTATTTTATTTATCTAAATCTAAATATTAGGAAAAATAAAATATTTTCTTAAAAAATGTGAACCGAGCTTGAAGAATGTCACCGTTGGGGTCGATACGTTCTTAATAAAAACGAATTTTAAACATATGTACTTTTGATGAGGCCAGACAAGCTTATGGGATCTAAAGCAATACCTAAGCTGATTATTGGAATATGTATGCACATTGAATGCGCCTCATTTGGGTTTTAGTAGAGCTATTTTATGTATCTAAGCAGCTTTTCTATATTAATTTATTTGCTACAACTCAAAATTTCAAGTACTTCTAGCACGTGCTCAGAACTGAAGGAAAATATAATAATTAATTTGATTATTTCTTAATTGTCTAGATATAGCAACTGATGCAGAACAAGACGAATTCTACTTAAAAATGATGCCGAACTTATTATAGAATTTGATTGACTATAAACTTTCACATCAATTCTGAATTGGTTTTTTATCATTTTTATCTTGATTTAGAGTTGTTTTATTCCAAATGAACCGGATTCTTTAGAGTTGCATATCAGTTGGTGAAGCTAAATAATTTAAACGATATTAATAAAAGAGATGTCAAGTAGATCGACTCCGTACTTCTCACGCAGCTACGTCATCAGTTAGACTAAACAAAAGGTTACAACTATCAGATACTTCAACAAATTTAATGAAAAAGCCCTTCTATACAATCTCTCCAGTTGCGGCTTGGATAAAATTTTTACTTTAGATGATATCGACGAAAATGTTAGCTATTTAACAAATATTATTACAGACACTTTCAATAAACACGCATCCGCAAAATAATTCTCGTCAACAAACCACGAGCATCTTAGTTCACTGACGAATTGCATGCTATCCTCAAAGAAAAAAATATAGCTTATGCTTCATTTAAGTCAGGAAAAACAATAGAAAGTCGCGAAAAATTCAAGCATCTAAGGAACCGCGTTCTAAGATAGATAAGGCTCAACAAAAGAGTGTACGTTCCAAGTCTCCTTTATGAAAATGATTTAAAAAAAATTATGGAAATGCCTTAGACATTTTGATGTACAATTTTGTAATAATCCAACCTTGCCAGCTCAGTTTGATGACCCATTAATTTTAATAATTACTTTATGTCACTATGCGATCACAAACCTACACATCCTCAAGTAAGCCAGTTCTACTTGAAAAACAAGCTGAATTCTGGTTATATTCCTTTTCATTAAATGCTGTTAAGCCTAAAGAAATGCTAGAGGTTATAGATAGCTTGAGGTTCGATGCGAAAGCGATTGACGGCATCTCTCTAACAATGTTAAGATTATGCTCATCCGTTGTTGTCCATAATATGGAACATATTGTGAACAAGTCTTTGAAAGCGGGCTACTTTTCTAAAGGATGAAGAGCAGCAGTGGTTGTACCAGTTCGCAAAAAAGCCAAACCATCGGACCTAGGTGACCTCAGACCTATCAGCGCATTCTGACAAAAGTGTTGGAGAAAATAGTTAATTTACATATTTCCACATCTTCAAAAATACAATATAATACCCGACACCCAATCTGTTTTTAATCAAAATTATGGAACAGCCTCCGCTCTCCTCAATCTCCAAGATAGAATTTAAAGGCCCTTAGATGCAAAAATTTCACTGACTCTTGTATCTATTGACTACTCTAAGGCTTTTAATAGCATCAGCCACGAGCTTTCACTTATGAAACTTAGTTGTATTGGTCTTGATGAATTAGCAGTATCTATTTTTATTAAACCAAAGATTGTCGTCAACATCGTTGATACCCTCTGGTGTGCATCAAGGTCCTATATTAGAACCTATACTTTTTTTAATTTATACTTTTGACTTAAACAAAACTGTTAATTTCCAGATGATACTCGGTCAACACATAGCTTTACTCCAAATGAAGTAGCAAGTACAACAAAAATTTTACGAAGCGATGTTAACAATTTAATACAATATTCTTCTGATCACAATCTGAAAATAAATCCAGAAAGATCCAAAATATTATTGTTTTGTAATGAAAAAGAGAAAAATGCTGCTCCCTCTCAAAGATTTCTATGAATAATCAAGTTTTAGAGTTTTCAGAAATACTTGGAGTAGTTTTTGACACTGAAGAGTCTGTAAAAAAAGACGTATCTCAGATTACGTACACTTATAGCAAATCGATGTTTACTTCATTTTAAACTTCGTAAGAAACTATGCCAGAGTTTAGTCGTATCTGACCTAAATTACTGTGATATTATCGTCTATTTTCCGTCATTAGATTGCTTTACCAGAAACATTATCCAAATCATTCAAAATAATTGTGTACGGTACAATTCTGGATTACGGAAATTTGACCAAGTGGATAAAATTTGAGAATTAGGTAAACTACCACTACCTAGTTTTCATACATAAATTGTGGCACACGTCAAAGCCTTATACCTCAAAGAAAAAAATTGTTTTTCGTAAGGATGCGGACACTACACCGTTAAGACACAAGATTATAAGAGTTCCACCGCACAACACAACATTATTTGAGCGAAGTTTCTCGTATAACTTTTTTACCATGTATAATTCAATACCTGACGTGTAAGACATGTTCTTTGTCAGCATTTCGCAAGAAAATTAAACTATTTATATATTCACTATCCTATCTATTTAATTTTACCGTTTCTATATATATAGAGAGAGAGAGAGAGAAAATGATCATGCGGATAAAGGTATATAACAAAAAGTAGGAAAATAATGGGCAAAATCCGCAAAAAGGAGGAAAGTGGATTCGAGCAGAAAATAGGATAGGTAACCCGAGCGATACGTATCGCTCGAATCCACTTTCCTCCTTTTTGCGGATTTTGCCCATTATTTTCCTACTTTTTGTTATATGTATATACAGGGTGACTTTGAAGTTGAGTCATTAATTTTCAGATAATGATTGTAGAAGGAAGATAAACCAAAATATGTGTGTAAAAATAAAACAAAATTAAAAAAAAATTTTTACCTTCCCGACAAGTATTCCAGTGCGGACCTGTATTTGATCGTGAGGTCTTGGAGCACCGGCTTGCAGTCCCCTGTGTGGTCATAAGTCACCTGATTCACGAGCCCGTTGTACTACATTAACAAAGGCACCAGAGGTTGGTTGCACTCGATTGGGAAACCGATCCGCATAAACATGTGCCATATTTTATTTCGTTTGAGCCACGCAACACACTGACTGTATACAACTGACTAAGATAATTGTAAAAACATCGTTCCAAATTCTTTCGCTTTTTTGTTTCCGATGCGATGAACCAAACACGAGCACATAATATTATTATTGAGACAGGGCGGTGCTCAAACTTCCAAAGGGCTATAACTTTGTTACTTTAATTTTACCAGAAAAATGGTAAAGGAAAAAAAACATTTCTTTTGATCAGATCTACTCACTGTTAAAATAAATGACTCAACTTCGAAGTCACCCTGTATGTATATATATATAGCTTCAGCCTTTAGTTGGGTACTTCGATAAGATTAAATCGTAAGGACTTTTTTTACTTTAGCAGTCTCTAGCTTTCGATGAGCTATACCATCATCTTCAGGAGAATAGTATGTGAGATTGTTGCTAAATGTTATTAAAGATTAGGTTGAAGCAAACATTTAGTAGCCTGGTGAAAGCTGGATCCATGGTACTTTAATTAAAAATAGTAAAAAACACACACAGCTGTATGTCAGGAACACATCACAATGGATTAAAAATATGATGGAATGGAAATTAAAATTTTAACATATCACATCGTGAAAAACCATCTGATGCTGGTGAGCAACAATCTTACGTACTATTCTCCTGAAGATGATGGCACAGCTCATGGAAAGCTAGAGACTAATGAAGTATAAAAAGTCCTCATCGCTTTAATCTTGTCGAAGTACCGAACTAAAGGCTGAAGCTTTCTGACCTACCTGGTTGTCAGACGACAATGGCCACGTTTCAAGTTATATATACAGGGTGACTTTGAAGTTGAGTCATTAATTTTCAGATAATGATTCTAGAAGGAAGATAAACCAAAATATGTGTGTAAAAATAAAAAAATAAATAAAAAAAAATGTTACCTTGTTTAATAAAGTATCGTCCCGACAAGTATTTCAGTGCGGACCTGTATTTGATCGTGCGGTATTGGAGCAGCATGCCCTGACCTGTGAGGTCTTAAGTCACCTGATTCACGAGCCCTTTGTACTACATTAACATGCACTCGATTGGGAAACCGATTCGCATAAATCCGTGATGCATCCG